TTCTGTTCTAGTTCTGTTCTAGTTCTGTTCTAGTTCTGTTCTAGTTCTGTTCTAGTTCTGTTCTAGTTCTGTTCTAGTTCTGTTCTAGTTCTGTTCTAGTTCTGTTCTAGTTCTGTTCTAGTTCGGTTCTAGTTCTGTTCTAGTTCTGTTCTAGTTCTGTTCTAGTTCTGTTCTAGTTCTGTTCTAGTTCTGTTCTAGTTCTGTTCTAGTTCTGTTCTAGTTCTGTTCTAGTTCTGTTCTAGTTCTGTTCTAGTTCTGTTCTAGTTCTGTTCTAGTTCTGTCTAGTTCTGTTCTAGTTCTGTTCTAGTTCTGTTCTAGTTCTGTTCTAGTTCTGTTCTAGTTCTGTTCTAGTTCTGTTCTAGTTCTGTTCTAGTTCTGTTCTAGTTCTGTTCTGTTCTGTTCTAGTTCTATTCTAGTTCTGTTCTAGTTCTGTTCTAGTTCTAGTTCTGTTCTAGTTCTGTTCTAGTTCTGTTCTGTTCTGTTCTAGTTCTGTTCTAGTTCTGTTCTGTTCTGTTCTGTTCTGTTCTGTTCTGTTCTAGTTCTGTTCTGTTCTGTTCTAGTTCTGTTCTAGTTCTGTTCTAGTTCTGTTCTAGTTCTGTTCTAGTTCTGTTCTAGTTCTGTTCTAGTTCTGTTCTAGTTCTGTTCTAGTTCTGTTCTAGTTCTGTTCTAGTTCTGTTCTAGTTCTGTTCTAGTTCTGTTCTAGTTCTGTTCTAGTTCTATTCTAGTTCTGTTCTTGTTTTGTTCTGTTCTAGTTCTGTTATAGTTATGTGCAAGTTCTGTTCTAGTTACATTCTTTTTTAGTTCTGCTTCAGTTTTGAATTTAAAATATTCCAAAACTCCAGTCTCCTTTACACTTTCTTGTCTACATACTAAAATTCTTACGGAAGTTTATTTTAATATGCAGAACACATAATATTTGTTTGAAAAAGACAACAATTTTCTAGTTCCCTAAAGCAACAAGATTAAGCTTGATATCGCGCTGCTGTTTCTTGCTATTACAGTTTAGATCATGTTGTTGTTACAGCATAGTAACAACAATAATAATGCTACTGTTTTGATTTAACTATGGGTGAATATTTCAGCAAACAGTTAAAACGGGTGGACATGTTTGCAGTTATAAAACTACGACGATTATGCGAAGCATTAGAAAAGGAAATAAAATTTTTCATTTCTTGCTAAAGAAATTTTCAAAATGTTTGGTTACTCCTCTATATTGTCACATGGAAAGAAAAGTAGGTGGAAGAAATTGTCAGGCTTATAATAGGAGTTGCATATCTGTTTTGTTAGTTTGTTGGTTAAACCCTCACACCCCCATACAAGTGTGTATACATGTATGTATGTGCTTTACTAAAAATAACTAAAATTCAATTTAATTATATGTAAACATGTATGAGTATGACTAACTCATACATGTTAGAGTTTATATCCTTATGTTTGTATCCCTGTTTGTGTATGAGATAGTGAGTGTGCAAATTGAATGTAAATATAATTTACAACTTGAAATTCTCGTTGAATTACATTTTTTTTTGCTCGTACTTGCTGTCGTTATTAAATTATATTTCAAATTTAAATTATTTGCATTGCAAACAAAATTTTTTGCAAATAAATAAATATATAGAGAGAGAGCAATAGATGCTAATGGAATTTACACAATAAATAAATTTGTATTAAATTTAAAATAAAATTAATTAAATAAACGTAAATAAGGGGAAAAACACTAAATTGTTTACATACTTTTAAAGAGGTTTCAATAATTTAATTAAAATGTTTATAAATTTACACAAATAAAATATATTTAATATTTAAAATGAAGTTAGAAACCCTTAAATAAAATGTCAAATATCTTTCTGTATCACAGAAAAATTTCCTTTTGAAAAAGAGCAAAATTTCTAGAGAAATTTCTCTCTGAATCAGTGCAAACTTTATATGGAAATTTCACTCGAAACCAGAGAAAATTTCTCATAATAATTTGTCTCTCAATCAAAGAATATTTTCCTTGAATCAGAGCAGATTTTCTAAATAGTTTTCTATAGAAATTTGTCTCTGACTTAGAGAAAATTTTCTATAGAACTTATCTCTGACTCAAAACAAGTTTTTTATAGAAATTTGTCTCCCACTCAGAGCAAATTTTTCATAGAAATTTGTCTCTCCTTCAGAGCAAATTTTCTATGGAAATTTATCACTGACTCAGAGAAAATTTTCTATAGAGATTTGTCTCTCACTCAGACCAAATTTTTAATAGAAATTTGTCTCCCACTCAGAGAGAATTTTTAATAGATATTTGTCTCTCACTCAGAGCAAATTTCCATAGAAATTTGTCACTGACTCAGAGAAAATTTTCTATAGAGATTTGTCTTTCAGTCAGAACAAATTTTCCACAGAAATTTGTCTCTCCCTCAGAGAAAATTTTCCATAGAAATTTGGCTCTCACTCAGAGCAAATTTTCCATAGAAATTTGTCACTGACTCAGAGAAAATTTTCTATAGAGATTTGTCTCTCACTCAGAGCAAATTTTCCATAGACATTTGGCTCTCACTCAGAGCAAATTTTCTATAGAAATTTGTCTCTGGCTCAGAGAAAATTTTTTAGAATTTCGTCTCTGGCTTAGATCAGATTTTCTATAGAAATTTGTCTCTCACTCAGAGCAAATTTTCCATAGAAATTTGTCTCTCACTCAGAGCAAATATTCTATAGAAATTTGTCTCTCACTCAGAGTAAATTTTCTATAGAAGTTTGTCTCTCACTCAGACCAAATTTTCCACAGAAATTTCTTTCTCCTTCAGAGAAAAATTTCCATAGAAATTTGTCTCTCACTCAGAGCAAATTTTCCATAGAAATTTGTCACGGGCTCAGAGAAAATTTTCTGTACAAATTTGTCTCTCACTCAAGGCTAGTTTTCTATAGAAGTTTGTCTCTCACTCAGAGCAAATTTTCCATAGAAATTTGTCTCTCGCTCAGACCAAATGTTCCATAGAAATTTGTCAATGACTCAGAGAAAATTTTCTATAAAAAATTTCAAAATTTCTGTAGAAATCACTCTCTGAATCAGAGCAACATTTTTATCGAAATTTGTAATTTTTCTCTTCTAATCGGAGCAAAATTTCTAAAGTAAACTTTCAACGTTATCCCTTAAAAAACTGCATACAATTTGTAATCTTTTCATTTAAGTTCCAAATACCTAGAGCAAATAAATAGTTTTTCTTTTAAATAATTATTTGCTCACGTTTTACCATTTAACACTAATTAAGCTCATTAACGAAGTAAGAGTGAGAGAGAGAAAGAGGAAAAGGGAAAAAAGTGAAAAAAAAACAATAAAACAAAATGTCTGTGTGAACGAATAAGTCGAATTAGTTGAATTGCTTGCATTTTGTCTTCAATTCTTGCACTTGAATCTTTTGCTCCTGTTCATTGTTTTTAACCAGTAAACCAAAAAAAATCTCAAAAATTACTTTTAGAAAGGGGAAAGAGATATTTTAAGAAAAAGTAAATTTACTTTTTTGCTATTATTGTCTGCTGCTTGAACTAACAAATGTTGCCAAAATACTGTAAACTTTTTTAAGCAACTTACTACCAACTGCTGCTGGCTGCTCATTACTAATGAACAATTTTAACCTGAGCCAATTTTTGTAGCTGTTTTTTTCACTATTTGCAAAACATCCTAGTTAGTGTGAGGTTAAGTGTTTCCCAGTTGTTGAAACGCATTTGGAATAGTCAATTAATTTTAATTTCAAAGTCAACACCTTTTGGCAACAACTGCTGCTGCAAATAATGCTGGCTATAATTATAACAAACCAAAAGTTACTTAAAAAAATGCCAACTAACATGTTTCTGTAGTTTTTTGCTATATTTTTTTTACTATTTGACCACAATTAAAAGTTAATAGCCACTGAAAGTTTTGTTAAACGCTCTTATGAACACATACACTAATACCGGCACATATACATAAACTCATTCATATCCTTGTATTTAAGGATATGAATGCAATTGAAGACACGTATTTCAATGCTCAAACGTGACATTATAGTGAGAAATTAAGACAAATTTCATTTTATGCTTTTCAAAAGCAGCCAAAGGAGAATTTTAAAATAATAAATGATTTTGAAATGAAAGATAAATGTTAATGGATGAGGAATGCAAGAAAATGTTAGAAGAAAATATTATATTTTTGTCTAGTTAGTTCTAGTTCTGTTCTAGTTCTGTTCTAGTTCTGTTCTAGTTCTGTTCTAGTTCTGTTCTAGTTCTGTTCTAGTTCTGTTCTAGTTCTGTTCTAGTTCTGTTCTAGTTCTGTTCTAGTTCTGTTCTAGTTCTGTTCTAGTTCTGTTCTAGTTCTGTTCTAGTTCTGTTCTAGTTCTGTTCTAGTTCTGTTCTAGTTCTGTTCTAGTTCTGTTCTAGTTCTAGTTCTGTTCTAGTTCTGTTCTAGTTCTGTTCTAGTTCTGTTCTAGTTCTGTTCTAGTTCTGTTCTAGTTCTGTTCTAGTTCTGTTCTAGTTCTGTTCTAGTTCTGTTCTAGTTCTGTTCTAGTTCTGTTCTAGTTCTGTTCTAGTTCTGTTCTAGTTCTGTTCTAGTTCTGTTCTAGTTCTGTTCTAGTTCTGCTCTTGTTCTGTTCTAGTTCTGTTCTAGTTCTGTTCTAGTTCTGTTCTAGTTCTAGTTCTGTTCTAGTTCTGTTCTAGTTCTGTTCTAGTTCTGTTCTAGTTCTGTTCTAGTTCTGTTCTAGTTCTGTTCTAGTTCTGTTCTAGTTCTGTTCTAGTTCTAGTTCTGTTCTAGTTCTGTTCTAGTTCTGTTCTAGTTCTGTTGTAGTTCTGTTGTAGTTCTGTTCTAGTTCTGTTCTAGTTCTGTTCTAGTTCTGTTCTAGTTCTGTTCTAGTTCTGTTCAAGTTCTGTTCTAGTTCTGTTCTTGTTCTGTTCTAGTTTTCTTCTTTTTCTGTTCTAGTTTTTGCTTTTTAATCTTATTTCATTTAAAACTTAATCTAATATTTACCTACCATTTCTTGTGTATCCTTTTTATCACACGACTGATCATGGCATAAATTTATATTCCGTTTTGCCACAATTTGTTGCAATTGCTATAATTTAGAAACACTGGCTTTATTATTAAATTCACTACTACATTGATGTTGTTTTCTATTATTAAATGTTGTATTAAATGTTGTTTTATTTAAACTAAATTCACGCGAAAGAGCATCATCAATAGATTGTTGATGCAAACGATGCCGTTGTGGTGGAGATGTAAGGCAATCCTTTTTATCACTTTTAGTTCTTTGAAACCAATATGGAATAGAATTCACTAAAGTCACTGTAGAGAGTTGTGGTCGATACATATAAGGCCGTTTTCGGGGTGTTAAATTGGTCATAGTTTTCGCTTTAAATAATATCTGCAAAGAAAGTAACAAAGAAAACGGAAAGGAAATTGTACCCTGATTATACCAGCCTTGCTTTAGGTAGTTGAAAATAAAACAATAATTTTGAAGTATTTGACAAAAATTAACTTTATTTTGAAATATTTCTTAAGAAAAACACAATTTACAACATCGAAAAATTAAAGTTACAACATTTAAGAGAAAAATTATGTTTATTTTGTATTTGAAATGAATAAGTTTATTAATACATACATACATTTATATCAGTAGAAATAACACACACATACATACAATTACAATACAAATACATTGATGATTTTCAATAAAAATAATACATCAATAATGAAAATTGTAATAAAATTTTTGTTCGATTTTTTTTTTTCAAAAAACACATATAGAAAGTTAAGAGCATTATTTCTTATTTAAAATATATATTTATTTATAAAATATATTTGTTTATAAATATAAATCATAGAGTATTTAAGAATAGTTGTAAATATATATAGAGAAAAAATACACACAACAACAAAATAACAACATCAATATAAAACAACATCAATATAGTTTTTTTATCATTTTTTTAAATTTAAAATTTCAGTTTTTTATACTTTATTTAAACATTCAACACCTTTTTATAAAAAAAAAACAGTTACAGTCAGTTAAATTGTTTAAGCAATATGTTGCCAGTCATTCAATGTTTATAAACATTTAATATATTCGTTAAGAAAAGTTAAACAACATCAATTCTTAAAGGGCTCTAATCAAAAGGACTGAATAACTGAATTCTTTCTTGTGACTAGTTGCCCCTAAGTTTTTTTTTTATTAAATACAACAATAACAACATCAATATAAATGTCAAATACTTAATGATAATAAGAAAAATTACATTTAAAATGTTGATAAAAATCAAAACAACATTTAAAAATTTTTCATATAATTTTTTTATCCAATAATTTGAATATGATGAGAAAATACTACTTACCTTTCTGTGGCTCATAATAAGTTTATTTAAAAGTAAATGAAATAATAATTTTGGGTCTAATAAATTTATGACTCAAGTAAAATATTCTTTGTTTTCAGCTAAGTTAGCATGCTTAAAATGGGTGTTTTGCTAATGATTTATGAAAATTTGTATTGGGTGGAGCAAAGCAAATAAAAAAGTAGTAAAATATGTAGCACTCAAAAAGTATAATGAAAATTAATAAATAATAAAATGCTTTAAAAGTTTTCAACGAAAAACAAAGGTCTGTAAAAATATAAGTATTTTCTTAACCCAAACAATTTAATACTAATATAATGAGGAGATTTTCAGAACTAGAACAGAACTAGAACAGACTAAACGAACTAGAACAGTACTAGAACAGAACTAGAACAGAACTAGAACAGAACTAGAACAGAACTAGAACAGAACTAGAACAGAACTAGAACAGAACTAGAACAGAACTAGAACAGAACTAGAACAGAACTAGAACAGAACTAGAACAGAACTAGAACAGAACTAGAACAGAACTAGAACAGAACTAGAACAGAACTAGAACAGAACTAGAACAGAACTAGAACAGAACTAGAACAGAACTAGAACAGAACTAGAACAGAACTAGAACAGAACTAGAACAGAACTAGAACAGAACTAGAACAGAACTAGAACAGAACTAGAACAGAACTAGAACAAACTAGAACAGAACTAGAACAGAACTAGAACAGAACTAGAACAGAACTAGAACAGAACTAGACAGAACTAGAACAGAACTAGAACAGAACTAGAACAGAACTAGAACAGAACTAGAACAGAACTAGAACAGAACTAGACAGAACTAGAACAGAACTAGAACAGAACTAGAACAGAACTAGAACAGAACTAGAACAGAACTAGAACAGAACTAGAACAGAACTAGAACAGAACTAGAACAACTAGAACAGAACTAGAACAGAACTAGAACAGAACTAGAACAGAACTAGAAACAGAACTAGAACAGAACTAGAACAGAACTAGAACAGAACTAACAGAACAGAACTAGAACAGAACTAGAACAGAACTAGAACAGAACTAGAACAGAACTACAACAGAACTACACAGAACTACAACAGAACTAGAACAGAACTAGAACAGAACTAGAACAGCACTAGAACAGAACTAGAACAGAACTAGAACAGAACTAGAACAGAACTAGAACAGAACTAGAACAGAACTAGAACAGAACTAGAACAGAACTAGAACAGACTAGAACAGAACTAGAACAGAACTAGAACTAAACAGAACTAGAACAGAACTAGAACAGAACTAGAACAGAACTAGAACAGAACTAGAACAGAACTAGAACAGAACTAGAACAGAACTAGAACAGAACTAGAACAGAACTAGAACAGAACTAGAACAGAACTAGAACAAACTAGAACAGAACTAGAACAGAACTAGAACAGAACTAGAACAGAACTAGAACAGAACTAGAACAGAACTAGAACAGAACTAGAACAGAACTAGAACAGAACTAGAACAGAACTAGAACAGAACTAGAACGAACTAGAACAGAACTAGAACGAACTAGAACAGAACTAGAACAGAACTAGAACAGCTAGAACAGAACTAGACAGAACTAGAACAGAACTAAAACAGAACTAGAACAGAACTAGAACAGAACTAGAACAGAACTAGAACAGAACTAGAACAGAACTAGAACAGAACTAGAACAGAACTAGAACAGAACTAGAACAACTAGAACAGAACTAGAACAGAACTAGAACAGAACTAGAACAGAACTAGAACAGAACTAGAACAGAACTAGAACAGAACTAGAACAGAACTAGAACAGAACTAGAACAGAACTAGAACAGAACTAGAACAGAACTAGAACAGAACTAGAAAGACTAGAACAAACTAGAACAGAACTAGAACAGAACTAGAACAGAACTAGAACAGAACTAGAACTAACAGAACTATAACAGAACTAGAACAACTAGAACAGAACTAGAACAGAACTAGAACAGAACTAAACAGAACTAGAACAGAACTAGAACAGAACTAGAACAGAACTAGAACAAACTAGAACAGAACTAGAACAGAACTAGAACAGAACTAGAACTGAACTAGAAGAACTAGAACAGAACTAGAACAGAACTAGAAGAACTAGAAGAACTAGAACACTAAACTAGAACAGAACTAGAACAGAACTAGAACAGAACTAGAACAGAACTAGAACAGAACTAGAACAGAACTAGAACAGAACTAGAACAGAACTAGAACAGAACTAGAACAGAACTAGAACAGAACTAGAACAGAACTAGAACAGAACTAGAACAGAACTAGAACAGAACTAGAACAGAACTAGAACAGAACTAGAACAGAACTAGAACAGAACTAGAACAGAACTAGAACAGAACTAGAACAGAACTAGAACAGAACTAGAACAGAACTAGAACAGAACTAGAACAGAACTAGAACAGAACTAGAACAGAACTAGAACAGAACTAGAACAGAACTAGAACAGAACTAGAACAGAACTAGAACAGAACTAGAACAGAACTAAAACAGAACTAGAACTAGAACAGAAGTAGAGAAAAATACTTATTTTTCACAGCACACTTTTTCCTAACAACCGTAGTTAACCCCTGCTGTTTAATGTTTTAACTTTTACACTCTTTTTACTGCTATTTAAATTTAACGTTTTAAATACATACATAAACATTATTTAGTTTAATGGTTTTTTTGTGCAACATTGTTGCCATTTAGCGAGCATGTTGCACACTCATAAGCAACTATGTGTGGCACTCGAATATTTAAGGAAAAGGTAGTAAAATTATTATAACGTTAATTAGCGACGGTAAATATTACATTGTTGACAATTGTAGTGGAACATGAAAAGGATAAATGCAGAGAACAGGTTCATTGCAAAATTACTTCAAATAGAAGAAAAATTTAAATTTTGTTTGATATTTAATTCTGTTAATTTTTGTAAAATTTTTGTTTTGTTTTTTGCTTTAAGCCTTATTTAAGCGGCTCTTAAAATGATTTGGTTAAACAAAAAATTTCAATTGTATTTTCCAACCAAATACTAATAATTCTTTTGCCAGGTGGTGGTTTTAAATAACACAATTCACCGGCACACAAAAAAAAAACTTGGCTGGCAAATATTGAGGAATTACAAAACAAATATATCTTGTTGCACATACATAAATACACTTGCCACACATATGTAGATAGATTTTTTTGGGGTTTTTGTTAAATCAACCACTCAACCAACCAACCGACCAATATTATTCATTGAATTTTAAAAATTATTTATTTTTGCCAAATTTTTTTTTTCTCGTTTTGTTTAAAGAAAAAACTACAAACGAGCAATTTGTTTATAAAAAAACTCTTACAAAATATTTATTGATAAATATTTTATAAAACAATATTGGTTGCATTTTTATGTTTGTTATTTTTAGTTTTATTTCTTTTATTGCCACATTTAGGGGCACATACTAAAGTGGGCCATACATAGAGCTTTATATATAGAAAAACCTTAGTTGAATATTTAAAAAAATAGGAAAAAAATTAAAATAAAGAACACACATGCAGATTATACCATGCAACAAAATTTATACAAATAACTATACAAACATCAACATCAGATACAGAGAGAGAAAAAAAATGTATCATAAACAGAGCAGGGGCTAAAGGGGCAAACGGCAAAAGCCAGTAAAAAGAGTGAAATGCAGCTGTTGTTGCAAATGAAAATAAATTACTCAAAAAAAGCAAAAACAAACTGAAATGAATATAAAAATATAATAAATTTGTTTTTGTTGCATATTGCACAAATAAACAAAAGGAAAAAATAATAATAAATAATAAACATTTGGTGAAATTGACCGCATATGTTGCTTGTATGTTGTTGTTTAGTGTTAACAAAAAAACACAGACATATCCTTACTTTCACACACACACATATTTGTTTATGTGTGGGTATTATATATACATATATAACTTTTGTTTTGTAAAAGAGCCTGTTATACTCCTATAAACATAATATTTGTAG